TACCACTAAAAAAAATCTAATTTTTAAATAAGTCTCTTTAAACGCACCAACATCCGAATACTTGTCGAACAGTTTTTTTAAAACTTGATAGAGTATGTGATCGTTGATGAATGAACCACAACCAACTTTGGTGCCATGTATACCCTTTCATAACATGTCGTCAGTAAAACAAATTATTAAAAACAGTTGTCTAAAACGAAATTCAACACAAGGACTTATATCTTTAATACACTCACTTCCTGAAAAGTTTTCAATAATTCTTCGCCAAAGCCAACATCATCTTCGTGGTCGCCCAAGAAAGGAATGTGTGAAAGCGTACGTTCATCCTCACACTTAAGCACAAAAATGATTTCAAAAACCAAATTCCGATTTCAATGCCGATTTCAAAAACGCAAATCTGATATCTTTGTAGTTGAAAAATTTTAGTTAAACGGAAACAAATCAGGAATCAATATATACCAAGTATTTCACCGCTATAAAACGAAAGTAAGAAAATTTATCAAAAAAAAAACCAGAATGTTGCATTCGGTAAGTGTCCAGTACTGCATTCGTGGTGTGCTCATAACAGCTTCAATACATTTTGAAGGACATTTCTGTAGAACTGCATTCGTTGCTGACCGTAATGTGAAATATGTTGGCTGTTCCGGCATCGGTTTCAGATTTAAAGGCTTCACTCTGTTTGTTGTCTGCAAAAAAATTTAGAGAAGTATAAAGAGATCTAACATAGCTTTTTGCAATACTATCAAGTTTGCAATTAATTTCGATGCAGCATTTTAGCAGAGTATTATTGGCTATCAGAAAATGAATCTCATCGCACTTTAGCACTTCAGTTATTGAAATATATACACCTAGAAGGGAATGTAAATAAGATAATGAAAAAATTGATAATATATTTGTAACACGTTAATCCACTACAATATCTGTGATGATGTGTTCAATTTACTCCTTTTTATGAATAAGCCGTTACTTACAAGCTATCTTTCAACATCTTTCTCAGTTCTTATTATATATAT